GGACACCTGCGCCGAGGGGACACCTGCGCCGGGGGGACACCTGCGCCTGGGGGACACCTGCGCCGAGGGGACACCTGCGCCGAGGGGACACCTGAGCCGGGGGGACACCTGCGCCGAGGGGACACCTGCGCCGGGGGGACACCTGCGCCGGGGGGACACCTGCGCCTGGGGGACACCTGCGCCGAGGGGACACCTACGCCTGGGGGACACCTGCGCCTGGGGGACACCTGCGCCGGGGGGACACCTGCGCCGGGGGGACACCTGCGCCGGGGGGACACCTGCGCCGGGGGGACACCTGCGCCGGGGGGACACCTGCGCCTGGGGGACACCTGCGCCGAGTGGACACCTGCGCCGAGGGGACACCTGAGCCGGGGGGACACCTGCGCCGAGGGGACACCTGCGCCGGGGGGACACCTGCGCCGGGGGGACACCTGCGCCGGGGGGACACCTGCGCCGAGGGGACACCTGCGCCGGGGGGACACCTGAGCCGGGGGGACACCTGCGCCGAGGGGACACCTGCGCCGGGGGGACACCTGCGCCGAGGGGACACCTGCGCCGAGGGGACACCTGCGCCGGGGGGACACCTGCGCCGGGGGGACACCTGCGCCGGGGGGACACCTGCGCCGGGGGGACACCTGCGCCGAGGGGACACCTGCGCCGAGGGGACACCTGCGCCGGGGGGACACCTGCGCCGAGGGGACACCTGCGCCGGGGGGACACCTGCGCCTGGGGGACACCTGCGCCGAGGGGACACCTGCGCCGAGGGGACACCTGCGCCGAGGGGACACCTGCGCCTGGGGGACACCTGCGCCGAGGGGACACCTGCGCCGAGGGGACACCTGCGCCGGGGGGACACCTGCGCCTGGGGGACACCTGCGCCTGGGGGACACCTGCGCCGAGGGGACACCTGCGCCGAGGGGACACCTGCGCCTGGGGGACACCTGCGCCTGGGGGACACCTGCGCCGAGGGGACACCTGCGCCGGGGGGACACCTGCGCCTGGGGGACACCTGCGCCTGGGGGACACCTGCGCTCGAGGGGACACCTGCGCCGGGGGGACACCTGCGCCGAGGGGACATCTGCGCCTGGGGGACACCTGCACCTGGGGGACACCTCCGTCAAAGCGGCACCTGCGCAGAGGACACACCACGGGGTCCTGAACGGCCTCCCCGCCCTCCGGGCCCCGGCCCGGCCTCCCTCTACGCGCCCCCGCGGAAGCCAGAGACTGGGAGAGCGAGGAGGAAAGACGGCGACCACCGCCCAGGGAGCCGAGGGCCGTCGGGAGCCGCAGCGCCTCACCCTCTACGCCGCCGCCGCCTCGGGAGTCCCGGCCGGAAGTGGACGGCGCGCGGGAACTTCCGCTTCCGTCACGGCGCCGGAAGGACGAGAGCCGGGCCCTGAGTGCGGGACTCCGAGGCGGCGGCGGCGTGGGGCGTGAGGGGGCGGCCGGTCCCGGGGGGGGCGGGAGGATGGGGCCGAGGCTGCCGGCAGCCGGGACGGGGACGGGGACGCCTGCGTAGTGCGCAGGTGCTGCGCCAAAGGGCGGGCCGGGGCAGCCCAGCGCCCGGCGGAAGCGGCCCCGGGGACCGTGCTGGAGAGCCCGTTCTGCACCTGGGCCGGGCGGACTCCGGCGGGAGGGAGGGAGGGAGGGAGGCGCCGGCGCGCCCCGGCCCCGGCCCCGCCCGCGGGAACGCACGCCGTGCTGGGCTCCTCCGTGGACCTCCTTCGGTGCGCAGATGAAGGCTGGCCGCTGCGTAGACAGGAGCCGAAGGTTCGGGCAGGGCCGCGGAGACCGGGGGCAGGAGCAGCAGGAGGAGGGCCCCGTGGTCACGTGTGCCCGTCACGTGGACGCAGGTGAGTGGCCCCGAAGCAGCGGCACGTTCGTAGGAGGACCTCGGGAGCATCACGAGCCACGGTTCGAGCTGGAGGCTCCTCGCTCCCGGGCCAGCGGAGCCTGAGAAGCTGCTCTGGTGATGTGGCGTTTGCCATACTGAAGTTTTTAACTCTTGTAGGATGTTTTTAAACCCTTACGTGAGAAGCCAGGCCGCAGGCTGAGGGAAAACCTTGTCAGCATCTGTAACTGACAAAAGATGGCTATCCAGAGTAGAAAGGGAACTCCTGCAAATTAATCCGGAAGGGCAAACGGGGCAGCAAGAAACGGGTAAAGGACAAGAGCCTTTGGCTCCGGGGAATAAGCTGCCTCCCTTGGCCTTCCTCAGGGAGACCTTGTTCCTGCACCCTCCTCACGGGGCTCAGCTCAAGCCTTTGAGCCACGACCAGGGCGTCTCCACCTACGCCCTGCTGTGTTGTCACGCAGATCTCACGGTGGCCGTTCAGCTCCAGCCCTCCATATGTCCCGCATAAAACTGCCCCAAAGACCTGGGGCACCCCAACCCCAGCTCTGTGCACCTGCAAAGCACCGGCCCCTCCCTGCGTCACAGAGTTGACAGGGTTCTCATGGTCACGGTCAGCTACCTGCACCCCTTCTCCTTGCATGTACGCACACAGCGCACAGCACCCACCTGCAGACCCCGGCTCTGGGACGCCACTGACGTTTGCATGTGTTTTCTCCTGAATGTGTCCCCAGCACCGCCGCAGAGCCTGGTGTTGAACAGGGATTAGAATATGCTGAATGAACAAAACGCACATAAAACTGCCGTTTCACCCCTTCAGAAGCCCAAGACTGAAAATGTCTGTCCACACAGCGGCCAGGGCTGGGTAGGGTGGGAGCCTGGGAGATGGGGAGGTAGGAGGGAGACCGACTGGGTAAAGCCCCTCTTCTGGGCAGCGCCTGGTGAGATGAAATTGCATGTGTCCAGCAGTTAGGTTCACATCTATGATTCCAGCACCTTGGGAGGCTGAGGTGGGCTGATCACATGAGGCCACGAGTTTGCGACCGGCCTGGCCGACATGGTGAAACCCAGCCTTTACTAAAAATACAAAAATTATCTGGACGTGGTGGTGGATGCCTGTAGTCTCAGCTACTCTAGAGGCTGAGGTGAGAGAATCACTTGAACCTGGGAGGTGGAGGCTGCAGTGAGCCAAGATCACACCACTGTACTCCAGCCTGGACGACAGAGTGATACTCCATCTCAAAAAAAAAAAAAAAATTGTGTTCATCCTAATTCCACACAGGCTCACTCAGCAGAAGCCAGACTGGGGGTGAGGAGTGAAAATGTGGGAACTCCGTCTGCCTGAGGCCACAGAGGAGAGGGCGTGGGCGGAGAGGTGGGCCAAGGTATGGAGCCACAGACGGGAGGGCTGGCCTGGTCCCCGGGAGGACATGGAGGTCTTACACCAGTGACCGGGACAGGTCCGCTGACCAGCTGCAGGGTGCAAAGGAGGCCTGGCAGGGGCTGCTAGGACTCTCGGAAGGTGCCTGAGAGGAAACAAGCTCAGTTCCCTGGGCCTTGGGCTGCCATCTGTGCTTGAGGAGGCTTCAGCACTTTTTTGATGGCATTGGGGGTGGTGGGGGGGTGTCTGGCCACAATCTGCCTGGGCCAGTGACCCCTCCACCCCCTTCCCATGGGCCTGTCATGCAGGCCCTGTCCCAGGCAGGGTGGGCGCCACCTGGCCCTGACCCACAATGCCCTCAGCCCTACCTTCCTCACTTCACAGGTCAGGTCTGGGGCATCCCGCGAGCACCTGGGAGGGTCCCTGACCATCTCTAGAAGCAGTGCCACTGGGCAGCAGCAGGAAAACGCAGGCACTTCCTCCTCCTTCAGGAGGCTTGTAGCTCTAGAGTTTTTATTTTTATTGCTGCCTTCTATTTAGTGGTGAAAGGCTGCTTTAGAATGTAAATTAACCAACACACCCTTTAAAGGAAATAAAGTGACTTCATTAGGAAAATGCAGACATTTCAATTTATGTTAAACATGTACTAGCATGTCATGTATTTTATATCAATATTGCAAGTTTAATACAAACCACAGTACAAAAAGTATTTGAAAGCTTCCTAGAGCCACTGAGAAAGCAGTAGAGAAAGCTGCATTTATAGTGCAAAAGTTTTAAAAATTCAACAAGTTAGTCTAGATATTGACAACTTTTTTCTTCCAGTAGAAACTGCAAAAATATAAAATATAAGCTGTATTTGTCTCCTCCCTTCCATCCCATTCCCACATTACACTTGACTTTAATACTTTTTCAGCTGTATAGGGAAAAGCTACATAAACAGAAAAACAGGAACCTGTAATTAGTGCTAACAAGAGAATTGACCACATCCGCACCTTCTATGTTCCATTATCTTCCCCACAGTTTTCCAGGAGGGATGTGGCCATTAAATAACAGAAGTGCTGACAGGGAGTTTTTGTTGCCACCGAGGAAGGGATGTTGGACACTCTGCTGGCCCCAGGCACTCAGAGCTGCAGCCTCCTGTGGGGTCCCCACACCACAAAACCTACAGAGCTGACACCTGTGTGCTGAGCGCAGCGTCTCAGCACAGCATGGGCTGCACAGCAGCCATGGCTACGCAATCTGTCACTGGGAGGGCCTTGGATGGGGGTGTGTCTGAAGGTCTGGGAGGTGCAAGGCAGGACTTGGTGAAGGAGCCTCCTGGGCAGGGGCTGCCATCTGTGCTGCTCTGACGGTACTGAGGGCTCTGGCTGCAATGGCAAATGCAAAGCCACGTCTGATTCCGTCTTTGGGGCCTGGTGTTTTTCCCAGTGACAGCCATTGGTTCCAGGACACTTGAGCCCTGTGATACACATGCAAGACTGTCAGTCACTGAGCTCCCTGCCCACCTCAGCCCTGAGACTGGAAGGGCAGCTGCCACTCTTGGGACCCAGGCAGCACCCGGGCTGAAGGGAGCTGCGGAGGGTTGAGCTCCAGCCCTCAGGACAGGGAACCCAGGAGTGGAATGTGTGTGTTGATCGAGATGTTTTCAGGGATACAGCACGTCTGATTTTTAACTATTTTTTGTGAGACAAGTTATTGCTGTGTTGCCCAGGCTGGTCTTGAACTCGTGGGCTTAAGTGATCCTCCCACCTCAGCCTCTCAAAGTGCTGGGATTATAGGCATGAGCCACTGCACCTGGCCTGCTGGTCTAATTATTAAGGGTCTTTCCATGATCAGGAAAGGAACTGGGCACTTGGTTAGAATAGGAAGGAAGTGGGAAGCTTCTGAAATACCATCCTGGTCTTAAATCCATAAATGCCCAGAGACCAGAGGTGTGCCATGGTCCGCATGAGAAATAAAGAGGACTCTGTGCAGTGAGGGGCCAAGGTGGGAATTAGGGGCCGGTCCTCACAGGTGACTGGCCCCTGGGTAGCTCTGTCCCTTTCGAAAGGCGCCCCGTGGCTGAGCAGAGTGAGTGGCCCCTTGGCAGGGCTTGGGAGTCAAAGGAGGCCATGTTGGATCTGTGACTCTGGGCTCAGGGGTTTGGTCTTCCTCTTTCAGTTCTGGGAGGAGAGCCTTATCCCTGTCCCTGCCACGTGGGGGCAGACTGTCCCAGAACCAGGCTGCTGAGGGGTGCAGGCACCTGGCAATGGGCAGAAGACCCAGTCCCACCAACCAGACCTGGGTTTTGACAAAGTGGGTGTGCATTTAACAAATGGCTTCACCATTAAACCAGGGGCTAAACACTGACACTCCAAAGTCACCGACGGGGGGAGTCCACGCAGGAGGCAGAATGCGCAGTGCAATGGGATGGTGGGTCCCTCACTCCGAGGGCTCTCCCAGTGGAGCTGACGTCCCCGAGGAGAGGGGCCTCGTGCCACGGCTTCCTCCTGCTTGGTAGCGACCCTGATGTGATGCCTGCACCAGCCGGGTGCAGCATGGAAGAAGCCTGAACTACACCATCAGCTCTTAAGTTATCTCGGGTTGGTAGACCACTGACCTTCACTTTCTGACTTTGCTTTTGTATCCAAATTTCCTACCCTCAGAATATATTGCCTTTACAGCTGTTTTAATGCTGTTAATACTTGTCCGTCTTGTACCTAATTATTCTCCGAGAATGGCCATGGGAACCCTCATCTGAGTGAACTATGGAGACAGCCAGACAGAAAAACCCCACAGACAGCACTGTCTCCTATCAGGTCTGTGTACTCTGGATTACATGATCTACCAAGAGGCAGATTAGTAAGGCCATCCGCAGAGACCCACTAAGAACACGGGAGATGTCCAGAAGGAACAGGTGTTACCCTGTCCATTTCTAGTCCAGACCTGGCCTCACTCTGTCCTGGCGCCACGGAGCACCTGCCGCACAGCGCGGGGCAGTGTGGTACGCAGTACTGCCAGCCTCTGCTGCCTGGAGTATTCTAGATTCCTCCTTGAGTGGGCTCACAGCCCCTTTCTCCGCGAGGTGTATTTCTAATTTGCCGGGTGCTGGCCTCTGCAGCGCACTCCAGCGATGGGCTGACGCCGCCTGGCCTGCACAGCACAGGCTGGAAGCTGCAGATGGACAGGGAGGGCCCAGCTAGAAGCGCTGCTCGCAGCTTCCCCGACTGTGGACTTGGCGGCAGTGGGCCGGCGCTCCCTGCCTCTCAGGCTTCACACTGTCCAGCCATGACCACTTGATTAAAGATTTTAATTCCTCAAAGAGAAAATGCTGTCATGCCTGAGTAGACTTAAGGCCAGTTCGCATTTAAGAATGGTTACGTTATAAAATTTGTAATACACTACCACGTATGCTGCGCACACAGACGGACTGTGCACGTGCAGCTCTGCGGGGCATTTCTTGGGAAGATCTCCGGCCTCACCAGGCTGGGGGGTCAGCCCAGCCACTGCTGCATCTGAGCATAGACGGACGGACCTGAGTTTGGATGGTGGTCCCTGCGCTACGGCAGGAATGTGCACTCTGAGGCTTGGGGTGGGACCAGCGTCGTCAAGGCACTTTTGGGAAACATCCCAGGCGCCCTTCCCTGGCTGTAAGCGGCCCACTGGGGCGAGTCCAGCGGCTCGCGCTTGACCACAGGGGCGGCCTCAGCAGCTCTGCAGGTGCAGCTCGGCAGGGAGGACGGTTCGCCTCGGCCCCGCGCGCAGAGCTGGTGGGGAGGCTCCCGCTGGGGAAGGCTGTGCGTGGGTTCCTGGCGCGCGCAGTGTGCGGGATGGAAACGGGCCAGCTCCCTGCTGCGCCCCGCAGTGGCCCTGTTGTGGGGCTGAGCCCCCAGCACGCCATACCCCAGGTGTGCACTGTAGACCTGGTGCAGGGAGTCTGGCTCTGTCTTCAGGGGCATCCTGGTAGGGAAGGTGACCGGACAGCTCCTCTCCCCGGCCCCCAACCCCCACACCTGGCTGGGCACGCAGCCATGGGCAGCATCCTCAGACCCAGCGTCCTTCTCCATCTTGATGGGCACATCTAGCAGCAGTGTCGGGCCGCACAGGCCCCCCGGAGGCATCTGCACGCCTCGCAGCTTCACGTCCTCTGTGGGATAGCCCCTCGAGGCCAAACGCTGAGCTTCAGACTGAGGGTGCTGCAGGCTCCCCTGCGGAAAGTGGCAGAGGGGAGGGTGCACCTGGTCCTCACTAACATCCCGCGAGGCTCTGCTGGTCCGGATGGCGTGGGCACTGGGGGACGGGCTCGGAGGCTGAGAGAGAGGCAAGTTCCTGAATGTGCCCGAGCCACTGGCATTGAAAGTGCCCTGGACACACGGGTAGGGCAGGCAGGAGCCGCGGGACGTGGGGCGCAGGGAGAGTAGGCCACTCTGGCTGTGCTGCAGCTTCTGCCGGGCACCATCCTCACTGCGCCTTCCTGCCGTCCAAGGCAGGAGCTTTGCGGGTCCCGGCATCTCCCTCCGCCCTGTAGCTCCAGAGGCCCTGCTCAGCACCCTCTGCTGCTCCTCCTCCCTGTCCCTGCAGAGAAAAGATGCCCATTTGACAGCGGCTGAAGACACTAGGTCTGGCCGCCTTGGTGGGGGTCTCTAAGGGAGGCTACTACATTAGGATGATGCTAAATCTGCTGGGGCTGCTACACCAACCCCACCCCGCACCGTCCCCTCTAACCCACCCAGCAGCCCAGGAGGCCGTGCCAGCACCCCCCACTCCTGCCCCGTGTGCCTGGGGCGAGTGAGGAGGGCCCAGGGTGGGGAAGGGCACAGGCTTCAGGGAGGGGGTCTCTGTGAGGCCTAGGCCGCCTGTGCAGTGTTAGCCACACCAGTCAGTAGCTCTGGGGGTGGGAGGGGCCATGCAAATTGCCCCATGGAACTGCAAAGCAGAAAGCACCGTGTCCAGCAGTTTCTGTGGCCAGGCTCTGTTGCTGACCAACTGGACGCCGCATGACACTAGGACTGGCAGTGTGTGACTGTGAGACAGTGACCTAGAAGGTGGGGAGGGCCCTGCGGTGCACAGCTGGGCTGGTCAGGAAAGCGGGGGGCCCACCTGGGCAGCAGGCAGGCCCTGGGGAGGGAGGAGGAGGAGACAGGACTCTGAGCAAAGGCAAGCTCAGGATGGAGCTGGTGACCCAGGTTCTAGGCGACAGATGAGGGCTGGTCCCAGAGCCCGGGAAGCTCGGCCAGAGCCCACGGGGCACCCTCAGCCCCGATATCCCTGGACCACTGCTCTCCGGGGTCAGTCCCCAGCGACGTGCATAACTTCCAGCCGGGAAGCTCCGTGCACAGCTCCACAGGGAGCGGGGGCAGCCGTGGCTCGCGTGGTGGTCAGGGCTGCCATCGTCTTTTTCCCTTTGTATCACTCCTCCCCCCCCCCCTTACTTTGGGCCTCCACAGTGACTCAGGGAGCTGCTGGGGCTGGGGGAGGCTGCCTGACCTCACTTACCTTGAGGTCCCCTTGGGGTCGAAGACAAGGTCAGGGCTGCCCCGGAGGCACGGACATGGGGCTCTGGCGGGAACCTGTGCCCATCGGCCAGTGTCAGTCTGTTCCCTGAGCACCAAAATGCCGCTTTCTCTGCTGCTCCTTCCTGTTGGGGTTTAGAGGGGGAGGAAGCCGTCACCGTGTGAGCTGAGGAGCTCCCGGACAACCGCTGTGTGTTCTCAGCAAGGCAGGACCCCTTGAGCTGCTTGGAAATGCACACACCAGAGCCCAGGACCGGTGCTTGTCCACAGCAGGACAGACACCGAGTCTGCAAAATGGCTTTTCCATGGAATACGCTACATCTCCGCCGGACAGGGGAAGTTCTCCAAGAAGCAGAAACACATTTTACCCACGTGGAAAAGATCAGATAGAAATGTTCTAAGTACCTGCTGAGTAACTGGGTTTTCCATGCAGTTCCGATTCGCACAGACTCGCGGTGGCCTTTACTCTGTGAAGAACACAGATTAACAGCAAGATGACGTGGATTAGACATGCATCAAAGGTAGAAATTGATAAAGACAGAAACCATAACTCACTCTTGTTTAATTCTTTATAGCCTGGAAAGTTATTTTCTTAGTTATAGATTTACTGAAAATACTCAATCATGTCACTTTTCAGGCCAATGAAGGGCTCAAGAATTTGCTTCAGAGAATAAAGTCATAGATGATTTTTAGGATAAATTTGCTTACAAGGATAAAGTCATAGATGATTTTTAGAGCTCATATCGTTTCCTGGAAGGCCAGAGAGAAAATGCAGTCCGTTCTCCTGACTCCAGGTAGTTGTGTTCTAGGAAGTGAACACTGAGGTGGTGAAGACCAGCTCACGTTGGAAGTGTGTGTGTGCCCACATACGAACCACAGTGAGCCGAATCTGAAATCCTAACAGCGCACCCTGGTAGATTGTATTTCCTTTCGTTTTTCAAGAGAAGCGTTAAGCAGCACTGCCCCACCAGCGGGTGCCAGAGTTGGGTTCAAGTCCATCTGGCTGGCCCCCACCGCGCCCCCGAGCTGCCCTTCTCTCTGTACTCTGGGCACCTCCAGGATGGCCAGGACCAAAGTCTGAGCAGGGGCCATGTCCAGCACAAGACTCATAGTGCCCCGCATGTGTCCATGAATGGCTGCAAAGCGCAGAGTGTGTTGATGTGGGCGTCCCAGTGAATTACAGTGAGCAGAGGGATTCACAGAATGGGCTTCAGGAACAGCAGGATCAAGACCATGTCACAAATTCCTGTGGGAAAAGCTGTGGGAGACGGGGTGGCTGCTGGGGGCCGCCAGAGGTCATAGGAGGCCACGGTGGCTGCTGCCACTGCCTCGGGGCTCTGGTTCTGCAGAGTGCACCTTGCATCTTACACCACTGTGGTGCTCAGGGCTGGTGGACCACAGGGTGTATCCTGGAAGCTGGCTTCTGAATCCAGCTCAGAGCAGGGTGGTGAGAATTCCAAAAGCCTTGGGTGGGTGGGAGTCAGCATTCTTGGCTTGGCAAGTTTTCTTTCCTCTTCTGAGTTTTAATAACGTGTGTGCTGAGCTGAAGTTGTGTGCCAGCTTGGTGTGTCCTGCGCTCCACCCCACCCTCATGACCCCACAGGAGGTCTGGGCGTCTGGGCGTCCAGGCTACCGCAAGAGCTATAACCCGCGGCCCCACACCTGTGCTTGTGATTGCGCACCTGTGCACCACCCCAGGCGGCCGGGACAGGCCTGTGGGCATGCAAGGTGCGGTGGGGCCAGGCCTGCCCTGCCCGGCTCTGACACCAGGGGGCTTCGTCCCGTCTGCTTCTAGGGCTGGGAACTCACAGCGAAGACCAGGCTTGCGGTGTGCACCTTCGATATAAAGACCAAGCCAGGTAAGGAGTGGTCCCGGGTTTGCGTGGTTCCTGCAGGTGCAGGACCTGGGCCAGAGCCCTGCGGGGACCCCTGGCTTCTGTGTGTCGGCGTAGCATTCACTTCTTTTCCCTCTAGAATTCTGTGTTTCTCCCCTGCACTTCACATTTCCATCCTTTAAAATAAGAAGCTACATAAATTTAATTTAAAACCTTCCAGAGGCCAGGCATGGCTCATGCCTGTAGTCCCAGGGCTTTGGGAGGCTGAGGCAGGTAGATCATGAAGTCAGGAGATCAGGACCATCCTGGATAACACAGTAAAACCCCATTTCTACTGAAAATACAAACAATTAGCCAGGTGTGGCAGCACACGCCTGGAGTCCCAGCTATTCGGGAGGCTAAGACAGGAGAATCACTTGAACCCAGGAAGCAGAGGTTACAGTGAGGCAAGATTGTGCCACTGCACTCCAGCCTGGACTACAGAGCAAGACTCCATCTCAAAACAAACAAACAACCTTCCGGAGATCTGTGGGCTCAGCAGGCTGGCTCGTGTCCCGGCCGTCCCCGAAGCTGCCCTCTGTCCTCCCTCAGCAGCAGTGGGGTGGGGCTGTCAGGGCCCAGGCGGAGGCCGCGCATGAGCAGAAATGAGTAACAAAGGCGGAAACCAACAGGCATGAGAGCCTCTGAATGGCCGCTGCTGCCGCCAGGCCGCAGAGCGGTGTAAACGGTCATCTTAAAGAGGTCAAAGGTGAGGATGGAAGTCACGCCCACAGCGGAGAGTGCTGTGAGTGCTGGCAAGGTGGCCTTGGGGCCTTCGGTCAGCCCTGGACACCGAGCAGGGGTCCCAGCGCCTCCAAGGCCCTCCTCTGCAGCGCCTTGGGGTGAAAGGGCCCCCAGCCACATCCTCTGCATCTGGAAGTCATCAGGTGCGTGACGGGGTCTCCCAGCATCCCTGGGATCCGACGGGCAGGTCCCCGGTGTTCCCACAGAGGGCACGGGTGTGAATACAGAGGGCGCACTGGCCTGCCAAAGCTGCCAGGGAACGGGAGGGACGGCAGTGTGGTGGGTGCTGCTGAGTCCCAGATCTCAAACTAGCTCAGGAGCCTGGACTCTGACAAGGTCAATCAAGATTGCATCCAAAAGAATGAAATTTAATACTAACAAAAGTCAAGGAATGCAGGTAGAATCCAAAGTCAGACTACAGGGCAACCCGCATCACTGCAACTTAGGATCGCCCTGAGGTGCCTGCCGCAGCTGGAGCATCAGGAAAGGCAGCTATCAAAACAGGGTGGGGACGTCTCCTGCAGACCACACGGTTCCCCCTACTGCGAACGTGCCCCCAACGCTGTCCGTGCACAGAGGAGAAGCGTAGGAATCAGGCAATGTCTGGAAACCAGAACCCAGGCAAGGCAAACAGAACAGAGCACGCTCGGCCACAGCGGGCAGCGGCAACGCCAGGCAGTGAGATTCAAGCCACACCAGGATGCATCTGCTCTCAAGGTTCTGTCTGAACCCAGCAATGTTTTCTGCATGTGGGGTTCATGCAGCCTCAGCCAGTCACTCCTGGGTGCTATGGCGGAGATTCCCACTGGGATGGGGAGCTGAGATTTCCTTCCAGCTCAGTGTTTGCTGCCCACAGAGCAGGGAGGCCATGAACAAAGTGGGCTGCCCAAGAGCAGCTGCGGGATCGCAGGCAAGCTGAGCTGTGCTTGGTCACCAGGGCATGCGTGCAGCGCTGAGAGGCTGAGGAGGACAAGTCGGGTGTCTCAGAGTCACAGAGCAGGAGCACCCTGCCAGCAGCCAAGGGCCTCAGGGAGCTGAGGGCCAGGGTGCAGGGCCAGCCCGGACCACCCCTCTGCCCTGCACTCAGCCCCTCTCCCTCCCATCAGGCTGTCCCAGGAGGAGGCAGTGACAGGTGAAGTGACTCGTCCAGGTCACTGAGATGAAGTCGGGTCTCTGGCATCCTGGCTGCCCCAGCCCCACGTCACTAGTGTCTTACCCGCAGGTGGGATACACGGTTTCTATACACACAGCATTTACATCTCTCCCAGCACTGCAAGACAGCCTTAACGCAATCTAGGAAACTACAGGCACGAATCCCCTAGGGCAGGGGTCCCCAACGCCCACGCCACGGATTGGTACCACCTGTGGCCTCCAGGAGCCAAGCTGCACAGGAGGTGAGCAGTGGGCCAGAGCACCACCTCCCGTCAGCTCAGCCGAGGCAGTAGGGTCTTACAGGAGCTCAAACCGTATCGTGAACTGCGCATGGGCGGGCCCCAGGTTTCAAGCTCCTTACGACAATGTAATGCCCAATGATGTGTCCCTGTCTCTCATCACCTCCCCCGCAACTGGATTGCCTAGGTGCCGGAAAACAAGCTCAGGACTCCCACTGATTCTACATTACGCTGAGTTGTATAATTATTTCATTATATATTACAATGTCATAAAAACAGAAATGAAATGCATAGAAAGTAAATGTGCTTGAATCATCCTGAAACAATCCACCATCCCAGTCCATGGAAAAATTGTCTTCCACAAAACTGGTCCCTAGCGCCAACAAGGTTGAGGACCAATCACGTGTTTTCTATTTCGGAAAGGCTGAGAAAGCGCTGGGATAGGACTGGGTTGGCCAGGGACGAGGAGCAGCTGGAGGGGCAGCCGTGCTACTGACCCTCTCCACCTGCCCACCAGGGACGTATTTCTCTGGCATCTCTTGCAGCCAGGAAGGACGTCCACTTGTCCACAGACAGGCTGTGCGAAGAAGGGCAGCTGAGCAGTGGAGAAGGGCAGAGGCCACAGCCAACCTTCCGTCCCCTTGAGGACACAGGGTCAGGGCACTTACTCTGAAACTGCTTCTGTAACAGGGTGATTTGGGAATGAATCCAAACCGGCAAGGTTTGGTGCCAGTTTGCAAATACGAGTTTGAAAACGTTTAATCTCATCATTGCTACCTGGGTCGTGTAACGACTTTAAAAGCAGAACACTTGTTATTTTATTACTGGCTGGAAATGAAGAAAGAAGACACAGAAGACACTGAGTGTGGAGGCCACCGGCAGGCGCCACTTGGCTGTGAAGGGCGAGTCTCACTCACTTTGCATCCGTGGGCGCCACAGCGTCGGCCCTGGGCTTGGTCCTCAGAAGTGTGCTCCTCATCTTCATCTCCGTGGCGGAGGGGAGGAGAACCGGAGCAGCAACGCAGAACAGCGACAGCCGCGGTGGGAGCACCGCCCCCGAGGGTGCCTTCTTCTTCTGTCCAAACAGGAATTTTAGTCTCCCTTGAAACTGCATCGTCTGGTGTTTTAGAGACAGAGAGGAAGGCGTGTTCACAAAGTGCTCCAGCAAGGTGGTCACAGGACACAGAACTCAAGAGCACCACAGCAGCTGGAATTGCAGCGAGGCAGCTCACCATGAGGGCTCAGGACAGCAGAGCTGCAGCTGCCGAGCTGTGACCCCACGGCCCGCACAGTGATTCGCGGGTTTCTCCGGAGTCGCGGTGATCACCTCTGATTGGCAGGTACGTTCCCACGTGGGCACTCAATCATGCTCATGTGTGTGCCACTCCTCCCGCCACAGGTGGGCGTGAATGTGCACCTGCTGGACCTGCCTGCCACCCACCCACGGTCAGGCCACTGGCCAACCCCCTGGCAGGAATCTGCAGGAATGGAAGATCTCCGAGCACTGTTTGAGCTTTAATATTCTATTTCCAAATTAGTAATCCTTCATTTTAATAACATTTAGGCACAACTTGATTTTATTTATCTAGGGCTTACAGTGTGACTTTGAAAGCCAGCAAGTAACCTAGGAGTTTGTTATAAAAGAAAATAAAATATCTCCCTACAAAAGAAAGGCTGATGTATAATTTAGTTATTTACCAAGGGCCTTCAGGGTACTCCTGCCTTCCATGGAAGGATGACCCCACAATGTGGCGTCACTCTCTCTCTATCCTTTTTTCATCCATCTATCTTTCCATCCATCCATCTAGCCACCCATCCACCCGTCCATCCATCCCATCCATCCACCCATCCATCATCTTCCCATCCATCTATCCATCATTCTCCCATCCATCTATCCATCTGCCTTCCCATACATCCGCCCACCCATTCATCCATCCATCCACCCATCCATCCACCCATCCATCATCTTCCCATCCATCTATTCATCATTCTCTCATCCATCTATCCATCTGCCTTCCCATACATCCGCCCACCCATTCATCCATCCACCACCCACCCATTCATCCATCCCATCCATCCACCCATCCATCATCTTCCCATCCATCTATCCATCATTCTCCCATCCATCCATCTGCCTTCCCATACATCCGCCCACCCATTCATCCATCCATCCACCCACTCATCCATCCATCATCTTTCCATCCATCTATCCATCCACCTTTCCATCCGTCCACCCATGCATCCATCTACCCATTCATCTATCCATCCACCCACCTATCCATCCACCTTCCCATCCATCCATGTTTCCATCCATTCATCCATCCACCCATCTATCCGTGTTTCCATGCATCTGTTATCGTCCAATCTATCCATCAGTATTTCCATCCATCCATCTTCTCATCCATTCACCCATCTGTCCATCATCTTTCATCCATCCATCCACCCATCTATCCATCATCTATTTAGCCATCCATCCACCCATCCATGTGTCTACCCATCCATCTGTCCACCCACCCATCTGTCTATCTATCCATCTTTCCATTCATCCATCCATCCATCTTCCCATGGATACATCCATCCATCATCTTCCCATCCATCCATCCACTCATCCATCTGTCCATCCATCCATTGATCTTCCCATCTATCCATCCATTCATCCATCTTTCCATCTGTCCATCCATCCATCCACCCATCCATTCATCTTTCCATGTGTCCATGGATTTATTAAACAAGTAATAAACACCTACTATGTAGCAGTCATACAATTAGTATGAGGGATTCAAGGCAGGGGAGTGTTGGGAAATGTTTAACATCTAGCTCTCCAGAGGGAAAATTCCCCGATAAACACTGTTTACCAATTTCTTTAGTATAAATATTCCCAACATGGCTGATTTCAAGCTCCCAAGTAAACTTCAACCGAATCTCAAAACCAGCATTTTCACAGTTGGCCCTATGAGTGGCATGAGGGAGTTCCCATGACACCCGCTTTGCCCAGGCTGCACCATTCAGGGTTAAAGCTGGGAAGAGCTGTGGGGCTGTGCAGGGTCTTGGTGTGGCTGTATTTTAACAGCTGCACAGTAAAATCCTTCCAATTTTGTGTCATCTAGAAATAAGAGTTTTCAATTAACCAATAATTGGTTAATATATATATATATATATTTTTTTTTTAAATGAGCAGCAGTTCATAGCCAATAAACGTATCTTAACGTCCACAAAATTTGGAACAAAATACCAAAATAAAAGCCTTCATTGTCACTATCTATCTTTATAAATGAAAGCTGCGCCCTGGGGCGTGTGTGTGCTAACAGACCTGGGGCCTGCGGAGAGCTGGTCCTTCCACAAGGTGCCCACAGAAACATGCAGACCCACAGGTGCCTCTGCCGTGGAGACGGTCTGCACCCGAGGTCCCCAGGATATCATGGGTCCACAAATGAGTGGAAAGCTGAGCCCAAGGGGCCTGCCCTGCTAGGGTGCTGAGGTCAGAGGGCCTTGTGGCATTGAACTGCAGCCAGGAGGACAGCAGAGGCCACCACTGGGGCTCTCAGGGGCCGTGACCTGGGCCTGACTGCTGCGACCCAGGGCATAGGGGCTATAGAGAGGCAGATGCCTCAGGAGTCCACAAGGTGGGCAGAGGTCTGGGACAGGGTGGGAAGTCTTTGCCCTGACATGTCTGAGGGGGAGGACTTCTCTAATTCATTGAGGAGCTAGAAGAGGAAATGGTCAAATAGCAGAAGTAAAAATCGCAAGTATGTGTTTGCAAGACAAGAGGGTAAAACCAAAAAGCTCAGCAGAAGCTGTGGGCTCAGCCACTCACACCAGCCACAACTGAAGGCTCTTTTTTTTTTTTTTGAGACAGAGTCTCACTCTGTCACCGAGGCGGGAGTGCAGTGGCTCGATCTTAGCTCACTGTAACCTCCGCCTCCCAGGTTCAAACTATTCTCCTGCTTCAGCCTCCTGAGTAGCTGGGATTACAGGCGCATACCACCATGCCCAGCTAATTTTTGTATGTTTAATAGAGACAGTTTCACCATGTTGGTCAGGCTGGTTTCGAACTCCTGACCTCAAGATCCGCCTGCCTTGGCCTCCCAAAATGCTGGGATTACAGGCGTTGAGCCACCGTGCCCAGCCTATGTAGATTACATTTTGAAATATATTTTAATAAGTTTTAAATAAAGGTACAGCTAGAGTATAAACCTACTGCAGAGTTTCACATTTTCACCGACCTGGCTCGCCCACCACAGCAGGCCTCACGGTGACTCATCAGGCATCCCCTCGCATGCCCAGAGGCGTCAAGGCCACACGCTGTCCCGGTGTGCACAGAGGTCAGTAGCCGGCCCTCACCCCTCCGCCAGGGACATGTGGGTTAATGCTCCCACCTCCCCTCGCCCTGTTTACTTCCATTCCAGGGTGGAACGCACCCCAGATGTCAGGAGCCTCCTGCCAGGGACCCACGCACTCACCAGGAAGCCTGAGGTGCTGTCTAGCAGGCAGCGCACACGGCAGACGAAGCAGCGGGTCAGGAAGGCAGAGTACTCGGTGGGCACGCCTGCGCCCCACTCCTGGGCCCTGAGCAGCCTCCCCAGGACGGCGTCATCTCCTGCAGGCCACAGGGGTCAAGGGGCGTGGTGGTGGCAGAAGCCAAAGTGCAGGGGCCACCCGCGCGGCAGCACGCACACAGCACGCGGCAAACACGCCGCGGTTCTCACGCCAAGGTGGTGGAAACCCCATCGCTGCGCACCCCTCCCTCCCGCCCCCAGCATCCCTCTAGACGTCACTCGGACAGAGTTTGCCTTCATCATCCTTTGCCTTTAAAAACATTGTTTTTAGCACATGTGCATGCACGACGATCCCCCAGTGGTTTCATCTTGCTTGTTTTTAGCTTTATGAAAGGGTCTGCATGTCGGTGCCTGGGCTCTGCTGTTTTAAGGTAAATCATGCTGTCCCATGAGGCTGTGGTGGAAACTCCCATGAATTATTTTAGGCCTCTGTGGATCTGTGTGAGAGGACCAGGGAGCCGCGCTCTGCACAGGTCCCCTGGGCAGACGCCATCCCGCAGAGCCCCACGCCTGCAGGGTTCATCTTACTAGTCGGGGCCACGGGGTGGTGGGGGGCAAGCCCTGTGTAGGGGGTCTTCATAAAAAGTGGCAACTGTCTCTGAACAGCAACAAACTTTCAGGGGCAAAGAAACTTCCTGGCAGACATGAGACTTGAGGGGGGTTTGCAAAACAAGAGGCAGGACTGAAGCTCACGGTGAGGCGGCAAGAATGGCAGTGACCTCAAGCCCGCAGAGCCCAGGAGAGCAACCAGGAGTGAAGCACTCAGGAGCCACACAGAGCTGGTGGCAGCCCAACCAGAGGACGGGAGGGACATGGGAGGCAGCCTCTGAAGAAAGGTGAGATTCGGCGCTAAGGTCAACATGGAAGGCAGCTCGCACCAAGAAGGCGCGCCAGGACATTTTCCAGAGGCATCAACGTGCTATGTGACCTGCTCTCGGTTTTGCTGACCCACCTGCCTCGGAGGGCGGGGGCTGCCCAAACACCACCTGGGGAGGGTCCATGGCCCAGTGCAGCTGCCGGCGGAAGTCCTGGCGGTCGTCCACGTGGATGTAGTCGTAAATGTTCTGGTGCATTACGTCGGTCTGAAATATTGCAACAAGGTTATTTTAGCCTTTCCCCAAGCGGCTTTGCACACTTCACTCCATGGATGAGTTTCCCCTCTGCTTGTCAAAGCAAGTCACAGCCATGGGGAGAGAATCCCACCGAAAAGACAGCGCTTGGCCCTGGGCCCCCACGCTCCCTCCTGGGAAGATGCCTAAGTTGCCTGGAACAGCTGCCCACCCGTCTGCCAGCCCAGTGACGCCCACATCCAGCCTTCGGGGGCAAGCGGGACGCTAAGAGATGAGCATCTTCTGGGCTGCAAACATTTTGGGGCCAAGTCATCCACCTTCCTGGTGACTGGCCCTCTTTGTGACTCTGTTTCTCGTCACTTCACATCTTATGGCCGGCGATTCTCTTCATCCTGACACCTGGCCCTCAACCTCTTCCCACTTCCACGGTGCCTCCAGGACCCGCCAGTTCACAGGCCTCTCTCTAGTCCTCTCTCCTTCGTCCTGCTCAGAAGCAAATCTGGACCTTGACACAGAGACTGACCCTTACAGGCACCCAGGGTCCACGTCTGGCAACAGAGGGTGACGCTGTGGGCCAGGAAGATTGACTTCAAGATGGACCCAACTGTCACCACTGCCAGTGAGTGTGTCTGAGCCTCAGGAAGGATGGCCGTCCCACCACCCTCTTCCTTCTCGTCACTGAAGGATGTCAGGCGTCTGCACCTGGAGCCTGGCTCACCAGGGTCACCCCTAAATAATTAACACTGCCAGGGACTGCTAGTGACCTCAGGACTCTTTCAGGATGACCTAATTTTAAGTGACATTTATTATCATGATATTAACCAAGTCGTTCTTCCTAACTGGATGCGAAGCTCCTATAAAGACTTTAGAAGATGTAACTAATAAACTCACACTAAAGGGATGAGCAACTTCAAGCAGCCTCATGGCAGGACCTGCGGGGCTCCCCGAACAAGAATAGACACAGCCTCAGGAGGGCAGAAGGAGGTGGCCCTCCCTGAAGGGGCTGGACCCTCACCGCCAGCGGCCCCGCTGTCCCCTTCTGCGAATGCGCTGTCAAGGAAGGCGGTGGGCAGAGGAGTCCGGAAAGGAGGGCAAAGACCTGGGAAGCAGCTGCCGCCTTCCATCGGTGCCGGCGGGCCGGGGCTACGGAGGGGAACGTGGGGCCGCGGACAGACACCCTCGAAGCAAAAAGGGCCGCACCAGCCTCCTGCCATGCAGGCCCCGGCGGCTCTACCATCGGTGCCTTCCTAAGGACTTCCGTGACTGGAGGGTGACTTAGGCCAAAAAGCGCCCAATCAAGAACACGCGGCTGATGAGTCACCTCCAAGAAAGCACCACCCGGGTGAGAGCACAGGACACGGTCGGCACCCGCGAGGCTGCGTCTGCCTCCGAGTCGGGGCCGCCCTCGCCCTCGGTGCGGGGGCTGGTTCTGTGCCGCCCACTGCATATAGAGAGCGCGCGCCTGCCAGGACCCCCGCCCCGCATGGCGACCGTGTGGGCACCTGCAGCGCGGCGGCCTTGCCCACTCCACGCGCGCGCACACACACACACACGCACACACACAATCTGCTCGGCGGAGCCGCGCACAGGCCGGGGAGGCTCAGCTGCCGGTTAACCCCGACGGTCTCCAAGGCAACTGCACCCACATACGCTCGGGCACGGCCGTGCGCGGACGCTCGGGCCGCGGCTTCCGGCCAATGTTTGTCCTTTCCGCCTCGTCTTTTAGCCGCTGCGGTGGGTACGCCATGTTTCTCTCTGGGGTTTCAGCTCCCACGTCACGAACCATAAGAATGAGCAGCCTGCGTCTTAGGGATAGTCAGCCATGTGTGAGTGCGCGTGCGTGAGGGTGCGTCGGTGCGGGCGTGCGTCCCTGGCGGCGGCGTGCGTGCCTGGCGGCGGCGTGCGTCCCTGGCGGCGGCGTGCGTGCCTGGCGGCGGCGTGCGTGCCTGGCGGCGGCGTGCGTGCCTGGCGGCGGCGTGCGTGCCTGGCGGCGGCGTGCGTGCAGGGCTGTGTATGTGCGTGCGTGGCTGCGTGCGTACAGGCGTGCGTACAGACGTGCGTGGCGGCCTGCGTGCGTGGCTGCGTGCGTGCGTACGGCGTGGCTGCGTCTCTTTCCGGAATCCCGACTGAGCGTCCGGCTGCCCTGCGCCGTCCCTCCTGGACGCGCGTTCCCTGGGATGTGTCCCCGCCGCGTCCCACCCTCCTGACGGACAGCGCGCAGCCCAACCCATCCATGCTCTCCACGTGGGGAGCGATTTTTTTCCCAAGAAATCTTTCCTCACAGATCTCCTAGCTCTGCCCCGTTGTCTTCTAGAAACTTCCATCATCGCTCTGAAGCTGTCTGTGGTGTGAGCCGGGACTCAAGACTGGCTTCCTCCTGCGGGGAGCAGCTCGCCCGCCCGCCAGTCTGCAGCGCCGCCTCCGTGCACCGGCGAAGGCCCCGCCCTCCTTTGCTCTCAGGAGTCAGCTCTGCCCAGGGCTCTCCCCTCCCGGGGCTCCCCCTCCCAGGCTCCCCCCTCCCAGGGCTCCCCCCTCCCAGGGCTCCCCCATCCTAGGGCTCCCCCCTCCCAGGCTCCCCCCTCCCAGGGCTCCCCCCTCCCAGGGCTCCCCTCTCCCAGGGCTCCCCCCTCCCAGGCTCCCTCCTCCCAGGCTCCCTCCTCCCAGGGCTCACCCCTCCCAGGGCTCACCCCTCCCAGAGTTCCCCCTCCCAGAGTTCCCCCTCCCAGGGCTCCCCCTCCCAGGGCTCCCCCTTCCCAGGCTCCCCCTTCCCAGGCTCCCCCCTCCCAGGCTCCCCCCTCCCAGGGCTCCCCCCTCCCAGGGCTCCCCCCTCCCAGGGCTCCCCCCTCCCAGGGCTCCCCTCTCCCAGGGCTCCCCCCTCCCAGGGCTCCCCCCTCCCAGGGCTCCCCCCTCCCAGGGCTCCCCCCTCCCAGGCTCCCTCCTCCCAGGCTCCCTCCTCCCAGGGCTCACCCCTCCCAGGGCTCACCCCTCCCAGAGTTCCCCCTCCCAGAGTTCCCCCTCCCAGGGCTCCCCCTTCCCAGGCTCCCCCTTCCCAGGCTCCCCCCTCCCAGGCTCCCCCCTCCCAGGGCTCCCCCCTCCCAGGCTCCCTCCTCCCAGGGCTCCCCCCTCCCAGGCTCCCCCCTCCCAGGCTCCCTCCTCCCAGGGCTCCCTCCTCCCAGGGCTCCCCCCTCCCAGGGCTCCCCCCTCCCGGGCTCCCCCCTCCCAGGGCTCCCCCCTCCCAGGGCTCCCTCCTCCCAGGGCTCCCCCCTCCCAGGGCTCCCCCCTCCCAGGGCTCCCTCCTTCTCCCTTGATTTCCTGTTGCCAGGGGACTCTCTCCCTGGGACTCTCTTAATTCAGGGCCGAGTAAGCAGTGCTGGGTTTAGGCTTCCATCCCGTCCTGTTCTATGAAAGCCAGGTTTCCCCAAATCCAGGGCTTCACAGTTCTCATCGCCAAGTAGCCAGCGGCTCCTCCTCCAGTGTTCACCCTGGACACTGGAATATTTCGCATCAAAACCCGCTTCTCCTCCAGGAATGCGTGGTTCTGCTGGCAGCAGCCTCAGCCCATCAGAGGATGCTCGGCTACCTAACCACGTGGCATCGCCTCTCATGTCTCCACAGGGTCTGCAGGCTGAAGGATGCAGCGTGTGAGAATTTCGAGAAATGTACGTCCACATCCGGACAGCCAGAAAAGGGGATCCACAAGGAAGCTTCAGAGTTCTCATCCAGGCCACTCTTCCTCCCAACTCCACACCTTAAAATCCACTTTACCCCTGGAATGCATAATACAAAGCCAAGAAAACACCCAGAAACCTGGGTCTGCCCCCTTCTGAATTAGAGACCTTATGACGTTTGCTTCACAGCTTATGGAGAATGGTGTGTTGACACTCCCAGTAAACGGAGGTTGGCAGCAAACAGAAACACCTACCCCATCCGCTCTCACTGGCCAGCCTGTTGGTCCCTATGCAGTAAGAGCCGGGCACCTCAGAGGGCCCCTGCTCTGCCAGGACAAGCACCTGCCTCAGGAAACTTGGCTCCAGAACGCTCTCCTGTGCGAGCTCCGACCTGGCATTTCAGTGCCAGCGTTTTAGAACTGCATCCTGCAGGAACCAGCGTCCAAAGGCAAGTGGCATTCCCCTTACACTTGCTGCCATCCCTAATTTCTTCCTTCATAAATGTTGCTTGAAAGACTAAAATTCTCAGCTGGCACAGTGGTTCATGCCTGTCATCCCAGCACTTTGGGAGGCTGAGGCGGGTGGATCACTTCAGGTCAGGAGTCGGAGACCAGTCTGGCTAACATCATGAACCCATCTCTACTAAAAATACAAAACGTAGCCAGGCATGCTGGTGTGCACCTGTAATCTCAGCTACTAGGGAGACCGAGGCAGGAGACTCGCTTGAACCTGGGAGGCTGAGGTTTCAGTCAGCTGAGATTCTGCCATTCCTTTTAAAAACAGATTCTTGCCCTCAGCGCCAAGGACCGCAAGCAGAGACTTATTTCCCAGCAGAAGAGAACGATTCCTTCATCTTTATGGTAACAGTTGGGAGGAGGCCCATGAGGTGGTTGGCACCCGTGGTCATGTGGCCGGCAGCTGCCGCTTTACCTGCAGCCCCTCGCTCCCTGCATCTGGGAAACCTGGCTGTCATTGCAATGCAGATGTACCCAGCCAGGCGATCGGGGGACTTCTCTGACTCGCCAGTCACCAAGGCCTGGGCTTGTGCCAGAGGCACATGGCAGTGCTGGATGCCTGGGTGCCCTGCTGTGTGGACGCCTGGCTGTCCTCGCAGTAGCTGGCGCTGCACCAGATCATGAGGCCCTGCACCTTCCAGAACTCTCTCCAGTCCTTCACCATGGAGCGTACCTCTTCCTCCTCCTACACAGATCATGAGGCCCTGCACCTTCCAGAACTCTCTCCAGTCCTTCACCATGGAGTGTGCCTCCTGCACAGAGCAGCGGCAGCCCAGCCCTGGCAACCCCATGTTGCCCCACACCAAATGGCCCTCACATGCATTTCCATAGGTGACGCTGAGCGTTAGGTCCCTGGAAGGTTGCCCCCAGTCCCCTCCCTGAGCAGCCCCAGGCCTCCCTGACTGTCTCCCACCCTGTAGCCACACAGCAAAGGGAATCAACAAGCGAGAAAGGGCCTCTGCTCAACCAAGGTGGCAGAGCACACGGAGGGGGCGTCGGAGCCCCAGAAAGACGCCTCCAACCAAGGCCAATCTGAAGATTTGTACAGGGTGAAACATAAATGTCTAGGTTGAGGAAACAAAGGTCTGTTTTACTCAGTGTGGCACATCCGCCTTACGCCTTTCTTAATCTTTTAACGTCGGATTCCTACAGAGTGACAGCAAGAGACATGGTTGGAGAAATGGGAGGGAAGAGGGCATGAAGGTTAGCCCAACAGTACAGAGCAAACCCTCCTTTCGTCAGGCAGAGGCAGTCTTTATTTTAGCTCAATACCACCACTTACAGAGCTCAGAATAAAAGCATTTCCAATTTGAATAGGCTGTTCACTCTAGCGGCTGACATTTTTACCTGTTTGCACAAAAGCATGCACACATCTGCTAACCATGCCTGGGGGTGTCTTAACTGTTCTGATCCACGAACTCTAACCTTTGAGAGAACGAACAACTTCTTGAGTCAACAAATGTCAATGGCAACCAAAATATACACCTGAAGCTGTGTATTCATCACCAGGCATGCTGAGCTCGAAGACACTGAACTCGTGCGCCCATGCAGTGACGGAATAATTGGTTCCTGACTTTTTTGTAAAGCATTTTGCACAATAAGCTCACATAAGCACAAAGCTGTTCTGAAATTTTCATGAATTATTTGCATAAACTAGAGGCATTGCCTGATTTAATGGCATTTGGAACCAATTTCCTCATAATCAAGGCAAGACTTTTTTTTGGTTTTTAACTTCTCATGCTTGGGGGAAAATGAGTGAACGCCAAGAAAACATAAAGTCCAATTAGCAAGTTCTGACCCAGAATCAAATTGCTCTGCACAGCGCCTGCCCCCATCCCCAAAGCCAAACCCTGGAGTGAGCGAATCGAGCCTGGCTGAAGGCAGCAGCTCTGGATGCGTCTGGAGAACCCGGGGCAGCTCAGGATGCAGGACGGGAGCTGCAAATGGTTCCGAGCGTGCAAAAGGCAGAGCAAGCGGCCTTCTCGAGACTCACCCTGCACGCACAGCCAAGAGACCAAGCCGAAGCTGCTCTGTTTAGGTTGACGGAGTCCCCGAGCCACATCTCATGTCTGCCCACATCCTGTCACACAGGCGTTCCCCTGTTCGGGACACCCCATAGTGAGGAAGGCACCAAACGGCAGCAAATGCATACAGACCCACTCCACTACTCTCCACACACGGAAAGGAAGCATCCCATGGGCAGCTCCGTGGGATCTGAGCACAGAAGATGGAGATGAAGAAGACACCAGCGGCCACCCAGATGCTCACATGATCTGAGGGAATGAGGGACCTATCAGCTGTCATTGCAGGTCCCCTCTCTTAGGAGATGTCAGGAGCTGGAAGTGCTGCGATCACAGCAGGGCACACTCAGCAAAGCCTGTGGTCACACGGTGTTGAAACAGCTGCCCAGAGTGATGTCCCTCTGTGTCGCCAGGCACCAGGGCTTTTCCCAGCACTCCTCTGCTCAGTGGCCCCATGGTCCGGCCACAGCCTGGCAGGCAAACACCACTGCTGGCCATTGTGTGCCACGGAAAATGAGGCTCAGCATCATCAAGGTTGCTGCTGGGACAGCAAAGCCGTGTATCCACCCTGCACTGAGTTACCAGGAGGGCAGCGACCTGGACACCCCTTGGCAGCCACGCCCACCGCATGGCATTGTCTCTCCCTGCACACAGCTGTGTCCCCCTGCGTCCTCCACCAGGGCCGGCCCAGGCCCGCTGATGAGCTGCACCTTCACGTGAACGCTGGGGGAGAGGTCATCCCAAGGAGGTGTCCAATGTGCAGAGATAGCCGAGGTGCAGAAAACAAGCTCACTGCCATGAGCCCGGTGGTCACCTTGTCCTGGCAGTTCACAGGGAGGGCAGCCTTGGGCTCGGGGGCAGGGGGTTGAACTTAGGGGCAGACTAGAGAGGCTGCTTCGCAGAATCACCAGCAAGGCAGCAGCAATTTCAGCTTTGGGAGAAAACTCAAAATCCCAGCTCTTGTGGAAATTGGATAAAAAAAATGTGCAGCCTCAGGCCTGGGCAGACGTGAATGCTAATGACGTGTAGGGACCAGTGTGGCTGAGGGGGTGGTTCGTGGCTTCCACAGCCTGCTGCTCCACACAGCCCCTATGCTTTCCACCGGCCCACGGAGATTTTTGCTTTGATCACGTGTGTGCTGCCTCTTACTCAGCGCAAATGCTGGCTCTGGGACCATTTCCTCGGAGGCAGAGGTGCCGGGCACTGCAGGTGGAAGGGCTTGCCCTGGGGCCTCCCGCCCCCCCCCCCCCCCCCCCCCCGTGCACACCCCCTGGTGTCAGCTCTTCCCCAGGGCCCAGCAGCCTCCAGGTATGCATCTCACCTGGGTCCCAAAGGGAGGCTTCCTGCCAGCCAGGCCCTGGCCTGAGCATCTCAGGAACTTCTCCAACACCAGGCCATGGCCCCACCGTGCCACTGAGGGTCTGGCTCCAGCCTCAGTGGGGCTGGGGTTTCCAAGACGGCCCCTGCCTGGGCCCTGCGGGCGCCGCTGCCCCTTCGAAGCTGTGTCTGTGTCCTCAAAGTCCCTTTTGTCCTGGGCTGCTGAGCTGGTGCTGCTGGTTAACATTCCCTCACACTAAACCCGTCTTAAGTCTTTCTGTAAAACTCTTCAAATTTCTGCAGTTTCTGTCTCCAGACTGAACCCTAATACACCGTCTATTTTTCAAAGTTTTGTTTTGATCTTTCTCAAACATACCTGTTCTTTCTTCAGCATATGCAGAGCTTTCTTTATATTGCTTCTTTAACCTTTTATTATTTTAAAACTTTGTTTGCCAGTTTCCTTTGGACGGCTTTGTTCCTTAGGTTCTTCCAGGAAGCAGGTTTGTCTGCCTGTCTGTTGGCTCCTGCTTACCGTCTATGCCTTCCTTGGGTTTATAACTCGCATTGGGAGCTCATCTGCAGGGAGGGTATTTTTGTGGGGTGGCTTGTGGAAGTGCAGATAAAGGGCCCCATTTTTGCTTCTTTGAGTTCTCCATTAATCTCGTCAGTCTACAATATGCCTGATTTCCAGATCCTGGGAGCCTCGCTGTGCAATGAGAGAAATCTGGATTCTACAACCAGCATCTGATTTTCCACGGGGGACCCCTGCTCCTTCCCAGACAGAAAAACAGCTCCCTTGCTCCCCTCCTGGCCTTGAGTGAGATATATATATATTTTTTAGATGGAATCTCACTCTGTCGCCAGGCTGGAGTGCAGTGGCACGATCTCATCTTACTGCAACCTCCACCTCCCGGGTTCAAGGAATTCTCCTGCCTCAGCCTCCCGAGCAGCTGAGACTACAGGCATGCGCCACTACGCCTGGCTAATTTTTGTATTTTTAGTAGAGATGGGGGTTTCACCATGTTGGCCACAATGGTCTCGATCTCTTGACCTCGTGATCCACCCACCTCGGCCTCCCAAAGTGCTGGGATTACAGGTGAGAGCCAACACACCCGGCCAGGTGAGATTTTTTTATCCCACCTTTTCCTGGGTGAGTTGCCCTTCCAGGGCCTGGTATCTGATGAGGCCTCAACCCCATTCTCTACCCCGAAGCCTGGACTCATCCACCTGGGGCTGGCTGGGTAGCATCCCAAATGAACCACGCACATGTCAGGAAGGGCATTTCCAGAACACGCTGTGTCCTGAGTGCGCCCAGAAGCTGCGGGTTAAGATGCTGACTGGGAGTGGCTGGATGGGATAGCACTGGTGGGGCAGGGGGCCTAGCGGAGTAGCAGAGTGCCTGGGCCGGAGGAGGCCATGCTGCAGTCCGCAAGCCACAGCTCCTTAGACCGGAACACCCTGACCCTGAGTGGCCTCTCATGGAAACCCCGAACCCAGGCTAGAAGAGACGCTGCCCTAGACAAACACGGGGTGTGGAGATCTTTATCTAAGAGCTCAGTGACAGAAAAGCCTGGTTTTAGACATTCGTCAGACCTCGAAGACGATAAACATTTACAAAGGGAAGAGAACCTAGCACTGAACTGCCTGGGAGGCTGTTTTGGTTTCATTTACCTGGTGGAAGCCCAGATAGTCCACGATCGTTGCTGATGCGTAAAATATCATCCCTTCTGCACTCACGACCAGAGCAAAGCCAGTAAGAGACTAGAAAAAAAAAAAGCAAACAAACATCGAATTGGCTCATCCAAAATGAAAAAATGCAAGCATCATTTGCTCAAATTTTCAACAATATCCTCCTGTTTTGTAGTCCATATTCATAACCTCCAGAAGTGCCTACTTTCAATGTATTTATTACCATTTTGTCACAGGCTCCAAGTTAACAGGCAACATGAGAAGGCAGCCATGGTTTACAAGGCCCTTTTTCTAATAAATATAAAATCACGTGTCCTAAAATATGCACCTTGTCTTGGCGTGACAGTGAGACCTGGCACCTGAGAGAGGGCAGCAGCTTCCTGCCTCCTAGGCAGGCGCCCCCTTCCACACACCATCTGCAGTGCTCTGGCTGTTCCAGGGATTTTTATTGTGAAAAATATTGAACTCCATCCACCAGCCTGGCTAACATCGTGAAACCCCGACTCTACTAAAAACACAAAAATTAGCTGGGTGTGGTGGTGCACACCTGTAATCCCAGCTACTTGGGAGGCTGAGGCAAGAGGATTGCCTGGGCCCGGGGGCAGACGTTGCAGTGAGCCAGCATGGCACCAGTGCACTCCAGCCTGCACAATGGAATAAGACTCTGTCTCAAAAAAAAAAAAAAAAAGAGAGAGCGAGGGAGAGAGAGAGAAAAATATTGATCTCCATCAAGTGTTTTTCTGTACTTACTGAAATAATCACAATTTTTCTTTAGTGTGATTGATAGATTTTCTGATAATGAGTCATTCTTGTTTTATGAGGTAAGTCCCATTTGATCATGACTTTTTAATTTGTTCTTGGAATTGATTAACTTCACTTAGGGGTTATCCATCTATGTTTAAACTTGGCCTATAGTCTCTCTCCATATTTTGCATGCAGTATATACAACCATCAAGACACAAGTTGCTCCTGCCCCTTTCCTTCTGTTTTCTGGACCTACTTAGGATGAGGGCAGTATGCTTCCGGAAGGCCTGGTCCACCTCACCCTGAAGACCCTCTAGTGTGGGCACATTTTGCAGAGATGGTGGATGAAAAGGGGCAGAATTTAATATCATGTTGATTTATTTATTGTTAGTGTATGCAGTTTCTTTATTTTTTCTTACATCAACTATGGCATCTTAAAATACTTTTGAGAAATTAATTTCACATTGATGTTAAACTCATTCGTGTGTGTTATTCATAATATTTGTATGATTATTAAATCTTAGTGATAGCTGTCATTATTGTGGGATTTTTGGAGGGAGCGGAGGAGAAGGCAAGGGTGTGGCTGTTGTGCCTGATGTGAAGTCTTCCTCTATTTCAGAAGCAAGCCCACAGCCCCACCCTGCAGCGGCTTCGTGGGGTGTCACTGGTGAGGGTGCATGAAAGACGTGGCCTCTGAGTCATGGGATCTGTCCTCATCAGCACCACTGTGGCAGCAATGGCCACTGCCTCAGCAAGCACAGGCTACCAGCCGGAATATCGCGCTCAGCCTCACATCCCCGCACAAGGCAGAAGCTGGGGGCAAGGGGCTAAGTCACCTGGACATGGCTTTCATAAATGTTTCAGTTTGTGTCTTTAAAACAGAGACATTTGGAGACTTTAACTTCCATGACATTTGTGGTTATCAGCAGCATATCATAAACTAATTTCCCTTAAATCTGGACCATGCGGGGTACTTTTATTTTCCTTTCTTTGGAATCTTTGCCAATTTGAAAAGGGATAAATTATTTTACCATCATAGTTTTCATTTCTTTGAATGCTAATGAGATTGAAAAACATTCCCTACATTCACTGGTAAGCTGCATTATAATGAGAACACAGGAAGTGCAATAAACTTCCAGTTACACATACGTAGAGAAGTCATACAACTCCCAGTGAGATTAAAATGACTGTTTCAAAAGTATACAGTCCCTCCTCAAGAAACTAGAGAAAGAAGAGTCAGTTAAACCTAATGTAAGTAGAAGGAAAGAAAACATAAAGGTAAGAGTCAAAAATCCATGAAAGGCCGGGCGCGGTGGCTCAAGCCTGTAATCCCAGCACTTTGGGAGGCCGAGGCGGGTGGATCACGAGGTCAAGAGATCGAGACCATCCTGGTCAACATGGTGAAACCCCGTCTCTACTAAAAAAATACAAAAAAATTAGCTGGGCACGGTGGTGCGTGCCTGTAATCCCAGCTACTCAGGAGGCTGAGGCAGGAGAATTGCCTGAGCCCAGGAGGCGGAGGTTGCGGTGAGCCGAGATCGCGCCATTGCACTCCAGCCTGGATAACAAGAGTGAAACTCCGTCTCAAAAAAAAAAAAAAAAAAAAAATCCATGAAAATGGTTTAGAACACTCAAATAATAGAGACTATCAACAGAGTCAAATTTTGAATTTTTGAAAAGATAATAAAATGGATAATCTGCTAGCAAGACTTGTCAAGAGAAAAACAAATTGCTGACACCAGGAGTTTAAAAGTACCTCACTACAGGTCCTACAAATATTAAAAGGATAATAAGAAAATACTAGAAATGATAGTTAATACATTAAACTAAATGAAACAGGAATATTCCTTGAAATATGCAAATTAACAAAAGTGATATAAGAACTAGAAAATCCAAATAACCTAATATCTATTAAAGAAATTTCTTTTTTTTTTTTTTTTGAGACGGAGTTTCGCTCTTGTTACCCAGGCTGGAGTGCAATGGCGCGATCTCGGCTCACCGCAACCTCCGCCTCCTGGGTTCAGGCAATTCTCCTGCCTCAGCCTCCTGAGTAGCTGGGATTACAGGCACGCACCACCATGCCCAGCTAATTTTTTGTATTTTTAGTAGAGACGGGGTTTCACCATGTTGACCAGGATGGTCTCGATCTCTTGACCTCGTGATCCACCCGTCTCAGCCTCCCAAAGTGCTAGGATTACAGGCTTGAGCCACCGCACCCAGCCAAATAAATTGAATTTCTAATCGAAACTTTCCCACAAAGAAAACTCCAGTCCCCAATCAAAAAACATTCCTAATACCTAGGAATAAATCTAATAAAATGTATTTAAGACTGGTATATTGAAAACTATGAAACATTACTGAGAAAATACCTGAATAAACTAAGAGATATACAATGTTCCTGGATTGAAAGGCTCAATGTAGTTAGAATGTCCTGTCTCCCTAAATTGATCTGTACATATAATGTAATCCCAATAATAATTTTAAGGGTTTTTTTTCTTTATAGAAAGTGACAAGCTGGCCGGGCGTGGTGGCTCACGCCTGTAATCCCAACACTTTGGGAGGCCAAGGCAGGTGGATCACGAGGTCAAGAGATTGAGACCATCCTGGTCAACATGGTGAAACCCCGTCTCTACTAAAAATACAAAAAACATTAGCTGGGCATGGTGGCACTGTGCCTGTAATCCCAGCTACTCAGGAGGCTGAGGCAGGAGAATTGCCTGAACCCAGGAGGCGGAGGTTGCGGTGAGCCGAGATCGCGCCATTGCACTCCAGCCTGGGTAACAAGAGCAAAACTCCATCTCAAAAAAAAAAAAAAGAAAGTGACAAGCTGATTCTAAAATTTTTATGGCTGGGCTCACGCTTGTAATCCCAGCACTTTGGGAGGCTGAGGTAGGAGGATTGCTCGAGCACAGCAGTTCAAGACCAGCCTGGGCAACACAGCGAGACCCCATCTCTACAAAAAAACAAACAAAAACTTTAAAAACTAGCTGGGCATGGTGGTACACGCCTGTAGTCCCAGCTACTTGGGAGACAAGGGTGGGAGAATCGCTTGAGCCTGGGAAATTGATGTTGCAGTGAGTTGAGATCGCACCACGGCACTCCAGCCTGGGTGACAGAGTGAGACTCTGTCACTAAAATAATAAAATAGATAGTTATGGAATTGCAAAAGACCTAGCCTTGCTAAAGAAATCTTGTTAAAAAAGAACAAAATTGTGGAACGTATTTTGACTTCATGGCTTCCTATAAAGCTGTAGTCCTCAGGACAAGGTCAGGATAGACAGGCTGACCCTCAGCTGAGGCACCAGGTCCATCAGTGGAGAAGGACGGTCTGACACAGCATGGCTGGGACCACTGGAGATCTGTATGGAAAAACAAACCCCGACTCATATCTCACGCCACACCAAAAAATTAAGACCTATGACAGACACAAACACAAAGCTCAGAGCCACAAAGCTTCCAGAAGAAAACCCAGGAAAACAGCCTCATGAGTTTGAGGTGTGTAGATTTGGTAGGATACAGAAACACTAACCCTTAAAGAAAAAAACTTGATAAATTGGGCTTTATTTAAAAACACCAGTGAAAAAATGAAGAGATAAGCCACAGAGAAAAAATATGCACAGCACATTGACAAAGGACTTTATCTGGAATCTATAAGAACTGCTACAAGTCAACAATTAAAAGATAACCCAATTTTAAACAATGGGACAAACATTTGCAGAGACACTTTACCAGAGAGAGAGAGAGTAATGCCCATCATACACATGAATATATGCTCAGCATCCTTAGCCATCAGGGACATGCAAGTTAAAACCACATTGAGATTTGAGATGCTGCTTCACACTCCAGGATGGCCACTGTCAGAAAGACTGACAGCACTGGACACTGGTGAGGGCGAGAGTGTAACTGGGGGAGTGGAAAATGCTACCATCACTTTGGAAAACTGTTCTGCTCTTCTGCATAAAGGCAAGTGTACATCTACCCTACAACCCAGAAATTCCACCCTCAGTATTTAATCAAGGGAAATGGGTATGTTCACAAAAACGCTTGAACAAGGATGTTCACAGTGGTCTTACTGATAATAATCAAAAGCTAGAAATAGCCCAAACAACAATCAACTGGGCGGTCAATAAATGAATTGCAGAACAATTATAAAACGGAATACTGTTACACAATTAAAGCATTTTAACTTACTGATTATGCAAACACATCGATGAATCCCACAAATAGTATATTAAATAAAAATCAGATGCAAAAGTTCATAACCTTAAGAGTCTATTTACATGACATCTAAGAACAGGCCAAACTCATCTACAGTAGTAAATATCAGA